ACTTTTTCTAACTTTGAACATAGTGAAATTTCATTGGATACAAAAAATAAAATTTCACTTTGTAATAAGGAATTTCATTGAGTATTTCAGTGAAATTTAACTAGATAAGCTTCGTCAGTAAAATTTCACTCAATGTTTTATACCATATAAGCTTCAGACAAGTGGAATTTTCATCAGAGAAATTTATCTTAGTGAGATTTTCCTTAGAGAAATTTATCTCAAGGAAATTTCACTATGGCGGTGAAATTTCGTATTGTGATTACCAATTTATATATTTTTGGATAAATTATACTTATCTCTCTTAAGATTTCTGACAAATACAGGGACCCTCCTTGTAGTTTCAATAATTATAGAAACCTCCCATACTTTTGCTGACAATATTAAAATTTCCCCAATCCGTTAATTTAGCACAAACGATGCTACTTGGCCAAAATGACCATATTACCCCTTTGAATTGAGCGAGAAGAGATGAAAATTACTAAATCAACTAATAAGCTATTTAAATGAAAATTCTCATTCACCTCCCCTGTGGTTTTGCATATATATTGTTAAAGACCCATGCATATTTTAATATAACACTCTAATAGTTTAATATAAGACCCTAATAATTACTGCAATACCTATAAGGACTTATTTCATACTATATAAAAAACGAAAAATTATTAATTTTAATTAATACATTTATTATTTAAATTTCTTTTTTCTTTTTTGTTTTTAAGTTGAAACAAATTGATTATTTTTTTCTAGCAATTTGTTCTACTTATTTATTCATATGTAAGAAAAATTATTTGTCCCTAAATTATTAAGTTATTATTATCAAATTTTAATTTTTTTTAGAAGGTTGAAATTTTAATTTTTATCTTTGAGACATTAAATTTCTAATCGATTCATATTTTAAAAAAAGAAATGCATGTTATTCTTACATGATTAAAAAAAATAAAAATAAACATAGAAGTGAAAAAAAAAATCTAATCGCCTCACAATAAATTAAAATTAGTTAATAAGGAATGAAAGATTAAGAAATCATTTGAGAATAATAAACAATTCAAATAATTTGTCATTTCTTCCACTTAAAATTAAAATTAATCTTTACTTGAATGGAGAAATTATTTGAGAATCCGTTTGGTTTAGTTTTTGAAATGAATTTTGAGTTTTAAGTTATATTTTGAAAAATAAGACTTTGAAAAAAAAAAACTTGTTTGGTTATGAGTTTTGAAACTAGTTTTTGAGTTGTATATTTTGAAAACTTGTTTAATTATGAGTTTTGAAACTAATTTTTTTATTTAATTAATTGTTTTAATTTTTTATTTTTGTAAACAAATATTTATTTATTTATTTTTATGTTTTGAGCAAAATAATTTTTATTTTTTTAAAATTATTTTAAAAAAATTTAGACAAAAGGTATTTTAAAAAAATTGAAAATTTTGAAAATATTTAAAAATTTTATTATTTTTATTTTAAATATATATTTTTTATGTTAAATATTTTACTTTATTTTCTTAAAATATTGAATTTTTTTTTAAATTTCAAAAAAATTTGGATCACTCATATATATCTAAATCATAACAAATTATTTGACCAATACTTGAGAAAATAAAAATATATATTTTTTCCAAAAGATAAAAAAATAAAAGCTAATTTTAAAGAACAGAATAAAAAAATATTTTTTTTGAAATTTTTTATTTAAAAAAAAAATAGAGTTCTGATTTGGTAATAAGTTTTTTTAGATAAGTTTTTAAACAGAGTTTTGAAAACTTTGTTTGGTTTTGAGTTTGGAAACATTACTCATAAATCCCATATGGGGAAATATTGCCCCATTTGGTCCTAGCACTACGCCAAAATTGGGCTTTAGCGGCGGTTTTTTACCGCCGTTAAAGCCTTTAATGGCGGTATTAACGGCGGTTTTGTTACCGCCATTTATGCGCGTGTCGGAAAAAGTACAACCATCGTAAAAAGGTAAATTACCGTCGTTAAAAATAATTCTTTCTTTTTGCACTCCCCAAGTCTTGAACCCTCAACCTCTCATCCACCCACACTAACCACTCTACCATAGCCACTCTTCATGAAATATATTCCCTAAATAAATATTTAAACATTACTTTTACTTTATTGTAGATGGTTTCGCCAGAGCTCGTCGGAGTTTCGCCGGAGCACGCCGGAGTTTCGCCGGTAAAGACCGCCGTCATTAACGGCGGCAATGATTAGGCATTAGCGGCGGTTTTGTTACCGCCGTTAAAAGTGGGCATTAACGGCGGTAACAAAATCGCCGTTAATGATACCTTTAACGACGGTTTTCGTTACCGCCATTAATAGTACCTTTAACGACGGTTTTCGTTACCGCCGTTAAAAAAACGGCCGTTAATGCCCTGTTTTGGCGTAGTGCAGGTGTTTTTTATTAATCAATTAGTCCTTTTTATTTTTGACATATTGTATTTGTTTGATTTATTGAGTTTGGAATTTATTTGTTTGCCTTTATTTGTAATTTCATTTTGATTTTTCCCTAGTGTGTGGGGGTATGGTAATGTTATAACATTACTATTTTTTTTTAGAAGGGGATTGCGTGGACTGTTTTTGGAATTTTTGATATTTTCCAGTTGATGTTTTATTTTTTAACGTGGATTCAGTGTGCATTGCTTTAGGATTGTACATGGGTGTTTGGGTGGTGCTGCTTGAATCTGGGTATATGCGATTCATGTGCTGTGTGGCTTCTTTAAACACAACCAACTCAATCATCATGCAAATAAACGACGTTCAAAATTACTTCATACACCTTACAAACATGTTCGTCAAAAAATGTTACCAAAAAAAAAAACATCACTTTAAGTGTTAAAACCATCAACTCCTAACACCCAAAAACACACCCTCACAGGCAAGGGTCCCTCACCCACTTTAACACACAAACAACAAGACCAACACAAACAACCCAATCATAACAAATACCATGTTGCAACTATCTCAAGTGCAAATGGTTCCCAATTTTTTTTTTTTTTTATCAGAATAGTAATATGCATTAAAATAGCTCAACAACACCTACAAGGATAGGAATCCATCCAAAATCAACTTACACCATCAAAGGTAAGATGAAAAATCAAAGAAAATACATGAGTAAATCTATGAAGAATGCCCAGCTGCACAAATACATTATCACAATTAATACCATATAATAAGGGCCACTACTTGACCCTACCCTCAATATAACTGGATTTCCACCCTGCCATTACAACAACGTATAATCTAACATTACAAAGTAACATGCAATGTACAATCTAACATTATAACAACGTATAATCGCATAGAAACAGGCTTCAAAATATAACGTTACACATACATTTTTCACCATTTCATAACAAAAACAAAAAAAATCAACAAAATACATACTTGTCACCGTGGGTGCTAGCAATAAACACCGACACCGACAATATTTAGTTGTGGTCTTCACTGTCAACCACTAGACAAAAATGGCGAAATGACCCAATGTCACGATGGTCGTAATGTATTGCTAGAAGGGGGTTTTCGGCAATCTAGAGTTTTGGGAGGGGAGGGAGGGGGGAATGGAATGTTAATTTGGAAATGCACATTAACATTACCGAATTAAACAATATTCAAAGAAATTGAATGTCTATCATCGTTATAACATTATAATCAAAATTGAGAACTTTCCATCTTTATCGTTTCCGTTTTGATCACGCAGGGAAAGCAAAAAACACTACAATACGCTTTTGGCCATTTTGGTAAATTTAACATCACGTAAAACCCATATTTACCCTCACAATTTTCTACTCACACTAAGGTCATGTTTGATTCACAAGACTAATAGTAAAGTATTATCCAATTGGATTAATATCTATTGGATTAATAATCCCATCCCTACCCCATTACTAATAATCCTACAAATTTGTTGGATTAATTATCCATTGGATTAATAATCCTAAACTAAAATATTAAAACAAACATAGGATAATTGGGCCAACGGATTAATAATCTCAATCCCATACTCTAATCCACCCAATCAAACATGCTCTAAAATCATAGGCTCAAAGGTCTTTAACATCAAAATGGGACTATTTGGTCCATAAAAATAAAAAATAAAAATAAAAAAACAAACAAACAAACAAACAGGACTAAATAGTTTAACATTTCTTGATTTGGGATTTAATGTTGTTTTACCCTATAAGTTTTGAAAAGAGTTTTTTGCTGTCAAATTGTGATTTGAAAATTAATGCTACCTAAAATACTCAATTAATTTGTTATATGCTACTTAAAATATGTTTCTTCGTATTTAGTTTTCTCATTTAAACTTTTTTTTTTATTAAAATTAATTTGTCACCTTCATTAATGGTTAAAAATAAACCATTCATAAAGATCTATAAATGAGATTCTAGAATAAAAAGAGGCCATAAGAGACTTGAATAATTTGATATTTAAATAATATTAAGGTAATCATATTTTTTTTTGATTATATTTAATAATATATAAGTCCCACAATTTACATCTATTGCCAATATAGTGTTGCCACGTAAGAGCATCTCCAACGGTTCACCTAATGTTTCACCAAATCTGAGTTAAAAAATGGCCATTTCCTTAATTTGATACTTCACGCTCCAACGGTTCACCTTCATCAAATCTCATTTAGGACAACCGGATGGTCGACCGGACCGGTCGATCGGTTAGAGGAATTTTTTTTTTTTTAAACCTTTCTGAACTGTTTGAACCAACCACTGAACTGTTTGAACCAACCAACGTGAATTGACCGATGTGAACTGGTAGGGGGCGACCGGTTGGTTGACTGGCCGGTCGACCGGTAATCTTTTTTTTTTTTTGATTTTCCTCCATTTCTGTTCCTAATTCTTTTCCTATTTGTTTTTCCCTCCATTGGTTTACCCGTAATAATTATTTTCTTCTAAAATCTCATATAAACACATTATTATTTATATGCCAGACAACTCCACAAGGATCATAGCTTAAACACAAGGACTATATCTTAAACAAAACAGAGGATAATGGATACTTTGAAATCCATGATATTTACTTCATTTTCATCCTCTTCTTCTTCCTCCTCCTCTGAAGAGGAGTCTGATGATGAATATATGATCACACTTTTAGCAGCTTATGAGCAGAATACCAGTAGTATGCTTTAGATTCTTAAGTCTAAGTGATAGCTCCAAGAAAATAGGGGGTTCTGTTGTAGGTCACAAGTATATACGCAGAGATAGAAGGCAAGGTCATGACAGATTGTTTGCAGATTATTTTGCTGCAAATCCAGTGTATTCAACTACAATATTTCGGAGACGTTTTCGAATGCGTCGTCCTTTGTATTTGCGAATTTTGAATGCAATCGAAGCACACAATTCATATTTTATTCAAAAACAAGATGCAGCTCATGTAGTTGGATTATCTGCCCTACAAAAAATGACTTCAGCGATGAGAATATTATCATACGGTATTGCAGCAGATGCAGTTAATGATTACATACGTATTGGGGAAAGCACTGCGATTCAAAGTTTGCAACAATTTTGTTATTCAGTGATTGAAATCTTTGGAGTAGAATATCTGAGATCTCCGACACCAACTGACATTGCTAGGTTACTTGCTATTGGCGAGGTTCGGGGGTTTCCGGGTATGTTGGGAAGTTTAGATTGCATGCATTGGGAGTGGAAAAATTGTCCAAAAGCATGGCAAGGTCAATACGTAACTATTATTCTTGAAGCAGTAGCTTCTTATGACTTATGCATTTGGCATGCATTTTTTGGAATGTCTAGGTCACACAATGACTTGAATGTATTAGACCGGTCACCTTTGTTTTCTGATCTTGCCCAAGGTAAGGCTCCCCCTGTCCACTACACTGTTAATGGACATAGTTACGATATGGGTTATTACCTTGCTGATGGTATATACCCGTAATGGGCAACACTGGTTCAAACAATTTCTTCTCCCCAATGAGCTATGAGACAACATTTTGCAATGATGCAAGAGTCTGCCAGGAAAGATGTAGAGCGGGCATTCAGAGTCCTCCAATCTCGATTCGCAATTATAGGTGGTGTTGTACGTTTTTGGGATCCAAAAATGCTTGCCAACATAATGAAGACTTGCATTATATTACACAATATGATTGTTGAAGATGAGAGGGAGGAGCACCTTGATTTTGATTATGAAATTTCATCTACCAACACACCAGTGCAACTTTCCTCTACTCCTACCAATGACTTTGAATCATTTTTGTCTCGTCATTTAGGTATTAGGGATAAAAATGCATATCATGCCCTCCGTAATGATTTAATAGAACATATGTGGCATTTTCGCGGTGAAAACTAGATTCACCACAAATATATTTTGTAATTTTGTTTAGCAAAGAAATAGAAGGTTGTCTTGTTTGTAATCTTCATTATGATGCACTATATTAACCAAGTAACGCAGAAGTTATGTGATTAGATATGATATTGTGGTGATCCAATCTTCAATATTCATAATTGTTCTCTGTTCAATTTATGACAATCATCAAAATAATTTATTTCAGTATGCCAATTCTGTTTTGGAGTTCTATAATTCTGTTTTGGAGTTGCAAGTTTGCTTTACTATTGATTCCCCAATAAGTCTAGGAACACAAATATCAAATATAGAATATGACATATATGTTTTACATGAAATGAGTCTTATATGTGGATCTCATATCATGTACATCACATTTCATATGAGACATATGTGTCTCGTGTTTTGTATTTATATTCCTACCATTACTCATTGATTCCCTTCCATCCTTAAACAGTGAATCACACATTTCCTAAGAATCTTCAATCTTTTATCAAATTAAAATTTGATGACAAATTTGGTAACAATCACCTCCAATCTACATCAAACTTGTATTAAATCAAACTTTTACATTTCTTTCATCAAATCAAGGCAAAAAAAAAAGCTTTTTACCAAATTTGTTGAAACAAACTTTTGGGAATAGGTTTGGAATTTTTAAAAAGATTTGATGATTAAGGGTTTGGCATTTTTAAGAAGTGAGGATTGGAGCATTCAATTTTTTCATCAAATGAAGCATTCAATTAATTAAGGGTCTGGCTCGTGGGATTCATCATGCATGCCATTATTTGTGCATTCGAATAATTGCTTTTGTAAGGATCTATCTTCAATATTCATAATTGGACTGATTGCATGCATTTCAGTATGTATATTCAATGTATTTGTATGTATATTTGTTTTAAATTCAATGCATTTTCATTATTTGTGCATACATTATGTGTGCATTATTCAATGTATTTATGCCATACATTATTTGTGCATTATTTGTGGCATCAATTATTTGTGCCATTTCGTAAATTATTGATGTTGATGCATTGAACATTCAACCTACTTTTCTGCCACATTGAACATTTAACCTACAGTCATTGTACTATATGTGGCAAATCATCTATTGAACCACCTACCATTCAGAAGATCACACCACCTACAATTCATTATATGAACCACCTATCGATTCAACCACCTACCATCCTCCATATCAGCTCAACATTGCCATCACCACATTCACATTTCACATGTTTTCACTGAAGCCCTCTAACCACACACTCTACATTTTCAAGTGTGAATCCACATCATCACCAAGGCAGCATTAGTAGGAACAGAGGAACAAGGCAGGATCATCAAAACAGAACAAGAAGGCAGCATTAAAAGAGCAAGGTGATTCACGGGGCAACTGGTTGGGCAACCGGCCCTTTCAAATTTTTTTTTCCCCCTTCCAGTGTGCATGCCACTCAATTGTTCAACTTGTTTACAGAAGACAGGAACATAATTTCACTATATGTTACTTTCATGTTTTCTAAATTAATGTAGTTTATTAAAACCTGCACCACATAACTGAATTTTAAGTTTCACTTGATGTTACTTTCTTGTTTTGAAAATGCATGTAATTTATTAAAACCTTAACTACAGAACATGAGTTTATTTACTTTCATGTTTTGAAAATGAATGTAGTTTATTTAAACCTCAACCACAAAACAAGAGTTTACTTTAATGTTTTTTAAATGACATTAGTTTATTAAAATAACGGGTATATTTTTGTGTATAAATAGAGGTGTTGGATGTGGAGAAGAAATCAAGAACTTGAAGAGAAAATTTTCTGTGAGCTCAAAATTGTATTCTTCTCTTTCACTTTCAGATCTAAGTTTAGCTTTTGTTCTTACACTTTCATATTTACTCTTTGTGAGAGAATTGTTGTAAAAGTGGGTTCAATTACCACTTATTCTTATTCCTTATTTTTGTGAGAGATTTTGTAAGGGTAGGGCATTTATTGTTGAGTGAGGCTCAATAGATAAGAGTAAGCCCTGTGCCAAATCCACAAGCTTGGTGGTGTATTTATTCAATTGATAGTAAAGAAATTCTCAAGGAGGTTCCTTGGGGAGTGGACGTAGGCCTGGCGTGCCGAACCACTATAAATCGCAGTGTTTGATTTTCTCTCTCTATCTCTTCTACTTTTATATTGATAATTATTATTCTGTTTTTTTTTATTTATTAAAATTCTGAATATTGTGTTATTTTTAATATTGTGAAATTTTTAATAACCCAATTCACCCCCCTCTTGGATTGCCTATCTGGGATAACAAGAGGAACAAGGCAGGATCATCAAAACAGAACAAGAAGGCAGCATTAAAAGAGCAAGGTGATTCACAGGGCAACCGGTTAGGCAACCGGCCCTTTCAAATTTTTTTTCCCCTTCCAGTGTGCATGCCACTCAATTGTTCAACTTGTTTACAGAAGACAGGAACATAATTTCACTATATGTTACTTTCATGTTTTCTAAATTAATGTAGTTTATTAAAACCTGCACCACAGAATTGAATTTTAAGTTTCACTTGATGTTACTTTCTTGTTTTGAAAATGCATGTAATTTATTAAAACCTTAACTACAGAACATGAGTTTATTTACTTTCATGTTTTGAAAATGAATGTTTTTTACTTTCATGTTTTGAAAATGAATGTAGTTTATTTAAACCTCAACCACAGAACAAGAGTTTACTTTAATGTTTTTTAAATGATATTAGTTTATTAAAACCTCAACTACAGAACAAGATTTTGATTTTTACTTCATGTTACTTTAATGTTTTTAAAATGAATATAGTTTATTAAAACCTGAACTACAGAACAATATTTTGATTTTTACTTGATGTTACTTTGTAGTTCTATAAAATGAATGTAGTTTACTAAAACCTCAACTACAATACTGAATTTTCAGTGTGCATGTTTTATTAAAACATGAGCTACATTCATTTGATATGTACTGAATAGAGAGTCTGCATGCTTTATACTACATTACTATGTTCTTAAATTTTCAGTGGCCATGCTTCATTAAAAATACATGTCTACTTAAATTTTCAGTGGCCATGCTTCATTAAAAATACATGTCTACATTTTAATTCTAAGTTCATGTTTTCAGTAAGCATTTTAAAAGACAATATTTATGTTAATTACTTCATTATAGCACATTTTTATTAAAATTCAACAGATATTCACATCATGCCTAGAACTAAAAGAGTGAGAACAGAAGTTGGTGAAAGTTCTAACCCTCGACGACGCGAACAACAGCAGCCTCAAAATCAGTCATATCCTACAGATGAATTTCTTAGTGAAAGTCATGAACTAGCCTTTCAAAATTTTTCAAGCCGACCTATTGTAACAGGGAGGAGGGTCAATCTGCCACCTTAATATGATGCACTACTAGTTAGTAAACTTGAATCAATGGGATGGCTAAATTTAATTAATTTACCCTAAAAGGTATATCCACGGCTAGTATCCCTTTTTTATGTTCACCTAAGAGTTACTCATAAAGAAGATGGAAATTTTACTCTTTTGTCATATGTGAAAGGAAAGGGTGTACAGTTTGATGTTCTTACTTTGGCACGTATTATTAGAGTTGAGGTAGGTCATGAAAATACCCATTTTCAGACTGAGGCTGAGTTAGTTAATATTGTCGGTAATGGTACTGATGTATATACTACTATATGTCAGAACAGATTTACTGGAACTAGTCTACAAGCAAGACATTTAAAATCTTATCTTCGGATCCTCCACCGGTGGATTGTAGAAAATGTCACTCCAGAAAAAGGACATCATAATGCGGTCCCATATATTAATGCCTATTTGTTATACTGTTTTGAGGTTGGGCAGAAGTTAGATTTGTCTTACATAATTATGAAAGAAATGGTGCTGGCAAATCAAGAAATGGACCGGTCATAACTGTTTGGGACACTCTTGACAAAAAATTTCAAATATTTTAAGGTTCATTTTGCAAATGAAATAGAGATCAAAATCCGTTCACCCATTACGCAATATACTGTTAATCGTGCTGGTGCACCGCCAATTTAATGGGAAATGATAATGCTGCAGAAGATTCAGAGGATGAAGTCCCACTAGATGATGGTCCACAAGATCCTCCTGTCAATGTGATGCCATCAACTGAACCACCTCAATATTGGACTGATTTTTTGGCCATAGAAGAACAACGTTATAATCAACGCGTTGAATGGGAACATCAAATGGCTAATCAGGTCAATTCGTTGGGTACTCAGTTTGAGACATTTGCCACTGCACAGAACTCATTAATTGAACAATTTGGTGAGTTTCGTTTGGACATTGGAAGACGTCATGACATGGCAAACAATCGCATTGATAGAATTGAGCATCGTGTAAATGACATATACCATCACTACTTCCCTCCTCCACCACAACCAGATAATGACTGCTGATCGGTGTGCCACAATGTTAATCCATTGTTTTGTCTTGTATTATTTTCACAACATTTTGTTAGGTAAAATGATCTTGCCTTGGTAATACTTTAGCACCATCTTTTCGAGCTTCACTCATACCATAATCTGTAATATGTTATTAATGTTTCTGATTACTTAAATTTGTATGAAAGTTTTTGAAAGGTGTAATGGTAACCAAAGAAAAGAATAAAGGATGTATTTATATGTAAGTAGTTATCTGTAATACTGTATGTACATGTACAACATATTCTTATTTGAGAAATCAAACAGAGGAGATTCATTGAGATGAAGATAAGACGCAGATTGAATGAAGGGGGAAATTATAAAACCTTGGAATTATAATCATCTATAACAATATGAAGATGTAGCCCATTGGACTTGATTGCGTAACAGAAGAACAACACCCATGAAGAAGAAAAAAAAAATATATGAGCCCCTTATCTGACATATCCATGAAGAAGAATTAGATTCATGATAAGTACTTAGCAATTGGTGTGTTTTGTTTTTACCAATCAATATGGTATCCAAAGAAGCAGTAGAGAATAGATC